TAACTCGTATTTGAAATCCACTTCGGATAATGGTACATTTAAAAGTCTATGTATCATCGAATTAAAAGCTGCCATTTTATGTGGGTACGGGTGTGAGGAAGAGTTATGTATGACTGTATCTGTGTGACTAGGTTTATGGAAAATTTTAAATGAATGGATACCTTTGTTATTTTGGATAGTGAGGTCTAAGAAGTTAATTTGTTTATTTTGTTCTACTTCCATAGTGAATTTAATGTTGGGATGAATATTATTAATAAAATTTAAGAAAATATTTAACTGTCTTTTAGTACCTGTGAAGCATGTGAGTATGTCATCTACATATCGGTACCAGACATATTATAAAAAATGCAAAAAGTATTTTTATAGATTCAGATATATTTAAATTAACTATTATGAACCCAAGTCCACCATTAATGTATTCATTAATTAAACTCCACAAAGACGGTTTACCTATTAGACCAGTAGTATCTTACTTCACTGCCCCTTCATCAAAAATATCTAAAAAACTTATTAATTTAATAACCACACACTGTAACTTTAAACCAAAATTTAGTATAAAAAACTCGTATGAATTAATTAATAATATTAAAAATATTCCATTACCAGATAATGCCAAATTCATTTCATTTGATATTACAAATTTATTTCCCAGTGTACCCCCACAAGAAACAGTAAACTTAATACATAATTTCTTAGATCAAAATAAAATTAACCCAGTCATAAAAAATGATATTTTAGATACACTAAATATCTGTTTAAAACAAAATTATTTTCAATTTAATAATAAAATATACACTAGCCATAATGGTCTAATTATGGGCAACCCACTAAGTCCTTTATTAGCAGACATCTTTGTTAATCACTTAGAACTCATTATCCACAAACATCCACAGATACAACACTTCATATATTGGTACCGATATGTAGATGACATACTCACATGCTTCACAGGTACTAAAAGACAGTTAAATATTTTCTTAAATTTTATTAATAATATTCATCCCAACATTAAATTCACTATGGAAGTAGAACAAAATAAACAAATTAACTTCTTAGACCTCACTATCCAAAATAACAAAGGTATCCATTCATTTAAAATTTTCCATAAACCTAGTCACACAGATACAGTCATACATAACTCTTCCTCACACCCGTACCCACATAAAATGGCAGCTTTTAATTCGATGATACATAGACTTTTAAATGTACCATTATCCGAAGTGGATTTCAAATACGAGTTAAATTTAATAAAACAAATAGCTGTTAATAATGGATATAATCCACAATTAATTAATAACATTTATAATAAAAAAATCCATAAAATAGCAATTAACCTAATATTCCCAATACCTAAGAACCCTACAAATACATACAATTCTTTTACGTATTTAGGTACTAATATGAGACAGTTGTGTACTTTTCTAAATAAAAATAACATAAAATTCACATTTAAAACTAATAATAATTTAAGAAATTTTATTAAAAATAATAAAGATAAGACAAGTAAAAATAATAAATCAGGAGTGTACCAATTAACTTGTGCAGATTGCCCTAAAACGTATACAGTGCTTGCAAATCCAAGTCCGACCACACAAACAGGTCGCTGCTTTAAAACTAGAATTAACGAACATAGAAAATCATTTATAAACCAAAAAACAGATTCCACTTTTGCAAACCACCTTATTAATGAAAACCATAATTTTAATCCTAACTTTAAAATCCTACACATAGAAAATAAAAGTATGAAACTGAATTTATTAGAATCGATGGAAATTAATAAATTAAAGAAAAAAACTGATATTATTCTTAATGACCAAATAGATACCAATAATTCCCCGTTATTAAACTTATTTTAATAAATTCAAAAATTTTTAGTGTTATATAACTATAGAAATTACAGGGCATCCCCATAGTTATTGTTCCTTTATTGTATAACGTTAATTTAATCTTCCCCAATATTGTACTAAAAATATTACCTGTAAAACCATCATTTATATAAAAGTAAAATAAATATTAGTTTGTATACGATCTGAAGATGCTACAGTGTAGCGAAACAATTGTCATATTTAAATAAAATAGTGAAACTTTTAAACAGTGTAGTTTATATTAAAATAAAACAATATTAAATATTAGTCTTGTTCTTTCTCCTCTTCTATGGTTTCATCTTTTCGATTTTCTATTTCTTTTGAGAGCTCCAAAACTTTTTCGATATTGTAAATTTTTGTATCTTTTATTTAGGCATAAATATTTTCATTTAGGGGCCAAACATTTTTATTACCAAGTTTCATTTGGGCTTCTTGATAAATTTTTAATTTGTGTGTTGTAAGATCTTGGTACCTTTAAGAATATTCCTTTTTTTGAATATTATTTGTTTGCCTGTAACTGAAGTTAATTGCACAATGACTGGTCTTGCATTTTCTTTGTTTTTTTTCGATTCTAGACGCCATATAAATTGTGTTCTCTACGCCAACTATTTAACAAAATTTGTTTTTTAAAAAATGTCTGACCTGTGTCATCATTATAATCATTTAGCATAAATTGCAAAAGGTACTTTTTATTTATTTTTAGTATTTCAAAATTCAACATACTTACCATCATAGGATGAAGAAGTTTTTTTTTTATTTAGTTCATAGCAATCAATGTAATGTTTGTTTAATATTTCTGTTAAATAAAAATGATTTAAACAATGATCACAAAAGTATTTTTAAGTCCCTTATCATTAAACTAATTATTTAATAATATAGATAAATTCCTAATTAAGGCAAAATAAAAAATAGTTGGTATTTTTTTAGAAATAAAGTTAAATTTTGATTTTGATGATTATCTATTATCTCAGATATTAATATTAAATTAATTTTAACAGGTAATTTATTTTTTCTCAGGCAAATTAAAACAATATTTGTTTCTTTTTTATCTTCTTCATATGTAAATACATTTATTGATAAAATATTAATTTTTTTAAAATTGTTTTGTCTTTTAGTTTAATAACAAAATGTATTTCAATAATAATAATAATCGTTATTTAGCAGAAGCTATTTTACAACAAATATAAAAATAATAACAATTAATAAATATGACTGTGTAACTCAGCAGTAAAGAATTAATCATAATTATATTATCACAGTTTTTAACATTATTTGGCAGATTGCTGAACATGTTTAGCCCATTAACAAAAATATTTTTAGTAATCTTGACTGGATTATATTTTTCTATATAAAAATTTGAAGAATTTCTTGTTTGATGCTCATGACATGACTTTGTAAAACAAGCCTACATGGACTATTTTGGAAAACCATTAAAATAAATACTAAGCCCTGGATCCCAAATTTAATGTGTGTGAAGCTGTGTAGTATTTGCGTTTATGGGCAAAGAAAAAATACCTACTTTTAAGTACAAAAGTCCTTTGATCCGGCGTGAACCATCAAATTATCACGATTACTTTTACTTTTACCAAAATAAACCGCCAAAATCAGTTCAACTAGATTTATCCTAGCTTGCAGTCTGGTAATAGACTACAACTACAACTAGTCTAACATCTCAAGAACGTTCAGAAGACAGTGATGACGATAATATATATACACGAAGCATATCCCGGAAAACCATTAATATTAATATTAAATAAATTAAATATTAATATATATATATATAATATACATATAATGTATATATATTAATGGTTTTCCGGGATCTGCTCCGTGTTGTCGGTTTTTGGGATATAATCAAACTGTTTATGGCCAATAAGTTGGAATCCAATCCAATCCAATCCAATTAAAACGAACAAAAAAAAATTTCTGTGTTATTTCAATGGGAAATTGAATTTTTAAATGAGCTAAGCCGCTATTGCACTTAGAACCTTTTACCCGGAGGCATAATTTTTTATTTTCTATAAAGTATTAGATTTTCTGGTATAACAGCGAAAAAAAATATATCGCCTAAAAATGACACACCCTAATATATACATATAATGTATATATATTAATGGTTTTCCGGGATCTGCTCCGTGTTGTCGGTTTTTGGGATATAATCAAACTGTTTATGGCCAATAAGTTGGAATTATAACAAATTCAAAATTTTTATAAGGGGTGGGTCAGATAGATAAGGAGTGGGGGTAAAACTACCCTAATTTTTTTGTACATATCTTGTGGTATGATTTGTTATCAGATAATAACATTTCAGAGTTTTACACAAATCGATAAAATCGATTTAAAAATTACCTTATATAACATAAAAATTCATAATGAAATCACAACTAGAGAAAAAGATTCAGCGTAGGCCATGGACAATTTTTAAACACCCTGTCACATATTACATGAAACTGTTACCTAGTGTTCGCGATAGTGGGAAAAAACCAATATCAATAGTTTCGATGTTGATTCTTTAGGATAATGCATAAATTGCTAAAAAAAAATTTAATAAAAGAAGTACCAAATTAATAAAATATCTAGGTAAATAATAAAGAAAAACATATAAACGAGAAATTTATTTTAGTCAGACTCACAAAAAAAGAACATAAATTCAACATTATCTAAACTAAAAGTATTATTTTGGTATTAAAATCACAAAAAAATATACCTATTAAATCCCATATAGGTACATATTAACAATAACTAGCATATAGGTTTTAGTGTAGGTATTACAAATAATAAACAAAATATATATTATTTGCAATCAATATTTAAAAAAATAAATATTAAATAATGTTTAAAATAATAAAGACTGATTTTAGTTTAAAAAAGCAGCATGTTTACATTTTTTGGTTTAAGATGTGATCTTTTCTCACAAATGAGCTGTCCTGATTTCTGATGGTACAGACGTTGCTGGAACACAAAAATATTTTTCTATTAAAACATTAAAATATACATTATCTCGGGTTTTCCAATATTCTAAATGGTCTTCCTCGATAGAAATATTGGCATTTTTCAAATATTGGCGCAATAGCATCACACCACTAGCTGGGGCAATTTCTGATGATTTTAACTCGCATTTTTTTTTCCAAAAACTTAAAAAGCTTTTTTCTTGGCAACAGCTGGGCTTGACTTTAATTTTTCTGTATTATCATTCAAATAATTTTCATTAGATGCAGGTTCATTTGGAGATATAGATGATGTTGGTTCACTTGGTTCTACTGCCTCTATTAGAATGTTTTTTTCTTTTGAATATTTTGATATATTTTTGTTAGCTCTGCCTGTAAACTTGCAGTTGCTAAAAGTGCATGATTTGAATTTCTGAAAACGAATTTCTTAAACCTTGGATCTAAAATTGTGGCAATTCTAGATACATTAATCCTAGATTCGTATTGCCCAAATCGAAGTAGTGTATTTTTAATAATCTTCTCAGGAAACTCTTTACCAAGTCTGGTTTGTAATTTGATTTCTTTCAAAGTTGCCCAAATACCCGTAAGAAAAAAAAATGGTTATACCAACATTTTTGTTGGGTATAAAAATTAGATGCTTTTAATTACCTGTAATAATAGAGATTATTAAACTCGATGAAACATATTGATCTCCAGACAACTGTTCTGTTGCATCATAGAATGGTTCTAAAGTCTCATACAAATCCATTATTATCTTGTTTTCTTCTTGGGTTATAAATGTAGGAGGATCATCGAGTTTTGTGATAGCAACCAACAAGGAATCTTTAATTTTTAGTAGTATCTCTAACATTAAGTATGTGCTGTTCCAACGATTTGAGACATCTTGAATTATTTTTAAGGGAGGCTCATTTCTATTAGCTTGCTCCTCTTTTAAAACATACATTGCCACTGTGCTTTTTTTGAATCTAGAGGCAATGGATCTGCACTTAGCCAATATATCTTGAATACCTTCAATTGCTTTGAGAGAATCATTCACAGTCAAATTTAATGTGTGAGCACTACAAGGCATATGAGGTATTTTTAGCAGACCTATAACAGCTTTAATGTTCGCTGCATTATCACTAACTATGGCCTCAACTTTACTTTCGAGTCCCCAGTTTTCGATAACTTTCTAAAAATTAAATTTTTTAAACATTCAATTTTCTTAGTTTCTTTAAGAAACTTTCTTGACCCATCACTGGTAATATTCATAAGAATATAAGAAAAAATTGAACCTACACCTCGCCAAAGTTTTTTGTTTCGAATGCGTTCCACCAACTTCAAATACCGACAGACAGCTGTTTCGACCTTTATTGGGTCTCATCAGTGTCGGGCAACTTGGTGTAGTGGAACACAATCAAAACAAATTACTCCCTCAGCTTATATGCTCGGTTGTTAAGTCAACAGAGGCGAGATGTAAGAACATCAGGTGATCCACACCGTCAAACGACGTGGCCTTTGCTGCAATCGGTACATACTATGCAACCGGGACTGCACACAGCAATTGTATCACAGATACTAATATGGCCTAAAGGAATCTAGAATTATCCCAAACGGGCTAAACATTAAGGTAAACATTCAATTTTCTTAGTTTCTTTAAGAAACTTTCTTGACCCATCACTGGTAATATTCATAAGAATATAAGAAAAAATTGAACCTACACCTCGCCAAAGTTTTTTGTTTCGAATGCGTTCCACCAACTTCAAATACCGACAGACAGCTGTTTCGACCTTTATTGGGTCTCATCAGTGTCGGGCAACTTGGTGTAGTGGAACACAATCAAAACAAATTACTCCCTCAGCTTATATGCTCGGTTGTTAAGTCAACAGAGGCGAGATGTAAGAACATCAGGTGATCCACACCGTCAAACGACGTGGCCTTTGCTGCAATCGGTACATACTATGCAACCGGGACTGATTAGTATCTGTGATACAATTGCTGTGTGCAGTCCCGGTTGCATAGTATGTACCGATTGCAGCAAAGGCCACGTCGTTTGACGGTGTGGATCACCTGATGTTCTTACATCTCGCCTCTGTTGACTTAACAACCGAGCATATAAGCTGAGGGAGTAATTTGTTTTGATTGTGTTCCACTACACCAAGTTGCCCGACACTGATGAGACCCAATAAAGGTCGAAACAGCTGTCTGTCGGTATTTGAAGTTGGTGGAACGCATTCGAAACAAAAAACTTTGGCGAGGTGTAGGTTCAATTTTTTCTTATATTCTTATGAATATTACCAGTGATGGGTCAAGAAAGTTTCTTAAAGAAACTAAGAAAATTGAATGTTTACCTTAATGTTTAGCCCGTTTGGGATAATTCTAGATTCCTTTAGGCCATATTAGTATCTGTGATACAATTGCTGTGTGCAGTCCCGGTTGCATAGTATGTACCGATTGCAGCAAAGGCCACGTCGTTTGACGGTGTGGATCACCTGATGTTCTTACATCTCGCCTCTGTTGACTTAACAACCGAGCATATAAGCTGAGGGAGTAATTTGTTTTGATTGTGTTCCACTACACCAAGTTGCCCGACACTGATGAGACCCAATAAAGGTCGAAACAGCTGTCTGTCGGTATTTGAAGTTGGTGGAACGCATTCGAAACAAAAAACTTTGGCGAGGTGTAGGTTCAATTTTTTCTTATATTCTTATGAATATTACCAGTGATGGGTCAAGAAAGTTTCTTAAAGAAACTAAGAAAATTGAATGTTTACCTTAATGTTTAGCCCGTTTGGGATAATTCTAGATTCCTTTAGGCCATATTAGTATCTGTGATACAATTGCTGTGTGCAGTCCCGGTTGCATAGTATGTACCGATTGCAGCAAAGGCCACGTCGTTTGACGGTGTGGATCACCTGATGTTCTTACATCTCGCCTCTGTTGACTTAACAACCGAGCATATAAGCTGAGGGAGTAATTTGTTTTGATTGTGTTCCACTACACCAAGTTGCCCGACACTGATGAGACCCAATAAAGGTCGAAACAGCTGTCTGTCGGTATTTGAAGTTGGTGGAACGCATTCGAAACAAAAAACTTTGGCGAGGTGTAGGTTCAATTTTTTCTTATATTCTTATGAATATTACCAGTGATGGGTCAAGAAAGTTTCTTAAAGAAACTAAGAAAATTGAATGTTTACCTTAATGTTTAGCCCGTTTGGGATAATTCTAGATTCCTTTAGGCCATATTAGTATCTGTGATACAATTGCTGTGTGCAGTCCCGGTTGCATAGTATGTACCGATTGCAGCAAAGGCCACGTCGTTTGACGGTGTGGATCACCTGATGTTCTTACATCTCGCCTCTGTTGACTTAACAACCGAGCATATAAGCTGAGGGAGTAATTTGTTTTGATTGTGTTCCACTACACCAAGTTGCCCGACACTGATGAGACCCAATAAAGGTCGAAACAGCTGTCTGTCGGTATTTGAAGTTGGTGGAACGCATTCGAAACAAAAAACTTTGGCGAGGTGTAGGTTCAATTTTTTCTTAAATTTTTTAAGTTAATTACCTGATTTTTGTACAATTGGGCAGGTCCCGGTAATTAAAAATTAATATTATATAGTTAGGTGGTAATGAAATTAATTAAATAAATTAGTAATATAATATTTTTGATAAAAATATGAGAAGTTTATTGTTAGTCAATAATGTTTTTCTGTTTTCATAGCCACCTAAGTAGGTAACTAATACAAATAGAGTAAAAATATTACACATTGAGTTGCCGTACCTGTAGGTAATCTGCCAAGTGTTGAGCTGTATGACTGCCTTTTAAATTTTCAGTTTCCAATACTGCAGACTTTAGTTGGAAATTTTTTATAAAATGACAGGTTACAGTGATATATGCATCACCTTTATAAGTAGAGGTCCAACAATCAGTGGTTATAGATACAGAATTGACTGTAGTAAGGACATCAAACAACTTTACTTTTATCTCTTCGTATCTCTGGGGCAACAAATTATGTTTTAAAACAAACTGGGAAGGCAATCGGTACCTATTATCCAACATGTTCACCAACCTTTAAAATCCTCTGTCTGATACAATGCTAAATGGTTGCACATGTCAATGAGCACGGCGTTCTCTATAGAGAACGCCGTGCAATGAGGCATCGATTTAAAGTAGTATTCCTAGGATCAGTTTTTTTATAAGGGTCATTATAAGAAAACTTGACTTCGATGAAGAATTTCCTCTGATCAGGTCTTTCTGTCGACGAACTTCTTGATTTTTTTTTCGTTCTTTACGTTTTGGCAATCCTGTTCACAGCGCCAGTTAAAGATGTAATAATAATAATTTAATAATAAATTTATTTATAAGATAAATACATTTACAAAATTATTTAATTACTTTTTTTTATTTTAATTGACCTTTAAAAACCAACTTTATTTTCTTATGAAGGTATTAATACACTTATCACTTTATAACTTTTAGTTTTATTTATTTAAACGATGTACAAACAATCAATTAGGAGAATTAATTAGAACATAATGATCTATACAGAATGAATGTATTTTATACAGTCTGTTCAGCCTAAGTTGAGCGCTTTGGTAGGGAATCATGTGGCCGTTAATTAAATTAAACATCGAATCGTCGCGAGATTTCGGTAACAAGGAGATGATTTATTAGTGCCGCGGCTTGCTATTTGTTCAAACAGAGCGGCTACCAAAATACATGTATTTAATTGTGCCTGAACATAGAGATGATGGACGGGGTGACATTCCTTAGACCGCTCAACTTAGCCTGAACGGACAGTACTGGAGAAGTATCCTATTTATGTCTTTTGATAACAAAATACTCCTAAAAGTAAAACAATGAATAATAAATATCTTAAAATAAAACAGTGGGTTATTATAATATTAAATTACTACAATATTATAAAACTTATACAATAAACAATTAATTAAACTGCTAACTAAATTGAAAATATAAGTATCCTAAGTAATAATAAATAAAATATAGCAATTAACGCAATATAGAACATGCAAAATTATTATGGGGATGTTTACCGCAATGGTAGGATTTAAAAATCTCACTCATTTTTTCTAAACTGGGACAATTGACCTAGACTTTTCCATATTATAAATTGTGTTTGAAACAAATTCTTTGAATCATTTCTTTTTTGGGATAATGGGCTAAGGGTAATAAATTAACATAGAATTTGGAAAAATCGAAAACTTTTACCAATTATATACATTTTTTTCTCATGATCACTACATTTTCCTGCATTAGTCCAGTATTTAAGGGGTTGCGTTGGTTTTCATTTAAAAATCTCGCTCATTTTGTATAAACTGGGACAATTGACCTGAGACTCTTCCACATTTTTAATTGTATTTTAAACAAATTCTTTGAGCCATTAATTTTTTTGGCTTCCCTTGACTAGCACCGTTTCAAAGGGTAATAAATTTACATAATCTTTTTGGCGGTGGGGACTATCGTTGCTTTTTGAACCCCCCTGAAGATGCTGTCTTCAACCGTAGAGTATTTTCCTGGATCGGGATCATAATCCACCAAATTAAACCTATAACGATGCACAACCTTTTTTAATACTTTAAACCTAAAATAAAAAAAATAAAACACACCACGTACAGGATGATCCCATATAGCCCTTTAATTTTTTTATTTTAAGTGTCCCAAAAAATTTAAAAGTGTGGTTATGTAGGTACCGAAAAACAATTTTTTTCTACGTAATAAAAGAAATTGGAAAATTCTAAGCGTTATTAATTTATGAAATTTAATAATAATCAAGTATTTTATTAAACAAATATTCTATCGAAAAATCTAAATGGGTTATTAAATATAAAGATGCTCTACCGGGCCTCCATTTTTTTTCAACACATCGTAAGCTTCTCTAATGAATCTGTTATGAATGCTGGGTTATTTTTATTTAAATTATTTATTTTATTCCGTATCAAAAAACGCATCCATGGGTGTCAAATCGGGGCTGTTTGCAGGCCATTTAATTGGCGCATTTGTTTCGATCTATTCAGGAAATCTCTCATTTAGGTAATTAAGCACATCACGAATATTGTAACATATTCAAA